CTGCCTCTGTGGAGAAGCTGCCCGTGAGCCACCTGGACTTGTGTTCTGATGTGTTGTTTCATTTATATATTTGACTCCAAGGTCCCTTGAGAACTTTATTTACATACTTAATGCAAAGATCTACAATAGAACTAACAGGAATAATGACTATATTTTACTTCTCAAATTTTTATTTATTTCATAGCATCATCTATCAGATTCAATTATAAATGTATGAAATATTGAGTGGTATGATGTTTTTGGAGAGTGCCAAGAATTGAACTGAGGGATTTTCATATCCTAGAAAAGAGCTCTACCACTGAACTACATTCCTAGACCTTCTATATGTTTGAGACAAAGTCTTTCTCTATAACCTCAAGCTAATGAACCTTCTGCCTCAGCTTCCGGAGTTCTGGATTATAGGCATTAGCTCCCACCTGTAGCTTTTACTATGGAATTCTAAATATCCATCTCAAATTGAAGTTCTGTGATTTAACAAACAGAGAATTGTCTTGTTTGTATCTCATGAAAGTGTGCTTCACTTCCTAAGCATGTATATCATCTTTACCAAATGAATAACAAGATGAATATTCAGTTTTGAAATACTTACTCCAGAAAATTGTGAAGAAGAAAATGCAAATAGCCACAGTCTTGGCACTCAAATATCAGCTTGCAAGTAGGCTAAAAAGGACTCAGGCATTCAAAACCTGTATTTCATCAAGTAGTGTATAGAGTATGTAATTGTATAGAGTATGTAATTATTTGATAATAGAACTTTTCCCTGAACATAACCACACTAAAATTTTAGTTTTCCTTATTTAGCATTTGTGCTTTATTGGATTTTATTCATTCTACCTGGGTTCATCTGTGGTATTTCATATTGTATGAGGTTTTCCATAAGCACATATCTGATGCTGCTTGTCTTGGTTAATGTATGCTGCTGATGCTTTGAGCCCTGCGCACTGATGCTGCTGCAGTGCTATGTCCCCTTCCACCCTTTTAAAGGAACTCTCTTCCAGGTCTCTGTTTAAATATTTTCTTTCAAAAGATGACATAATTCCGTTTCAATTCTTTTATCCACTTATAGACTTGAAGAAATATTCTCTGAATACTAAGTATTTGGTATGTAATGCATTCCACTCTTGTTCATGTTAAATGTCCTGATCCAAATTCATACTGTTCCAAAGTCTGAACTTTGTGAGTCCTGACCAGATGTCACAAGTGGAAAGTTCTCCACTTGGTCTCATATGTGAGCAGCAGACAGAACCCTAACATACTGAAAGGACGGTGTAAAAATTATCTTCCGGTGATGCAGGTGAGATGAGTGAAATGTGAAATGGGCTTGGTGTTTGGACTTGCCAGCCTATCCTCATTTTGTACAAATCAGTATCTCCAAACTGAAGAACATTGGAAACCTCAAACATTTCTTTCTAGTGCCAAACTTTTACAGTAAGAGGTGCTCAGCCTACAGCGTGACTTGTCCAAGTAGTCCCCATGTGTTAGACAGTAGGCAGTTTCCGATTTCCTATTGTTGATTTGTGTAATGTCTAACAGGTCATTTCAGTTTATATGCTTGATGGATTTCCAGATTTGAATCAACATGGCTCTAGAAGTGGAAATAAGCAAATTCAAGAAGACCTTTGTTTATGTCACATAAGTCACTTTCCAGATCTGTCCCCTCACCAGGATTATGCAATCATACTCTTTCCTTAACACGTAACACACAGTAATATTAGGTACTAACATTATTTTTAATCTTTGTCATTTAGATGAGCTGAGGAACCAAATTACTGCCTTATTGTACAATATATATCAATCGAATATTTCTAAATTTTCATGAACTGCATAATCAGGCATGTTATGAGTATTTTGTTTTGAGCATTTACTTTTATTAACATGAAAGCATTATACTGGCAGCACTTCCATCATAAATCTTCCAGAATGTCAGTGTTGTAGGTAATGTGGGCATCATACATAAAGCCCACATTTGCAGCTCAGTGCTCCACCAGGTGCTAACATTTGAAGAGTTACAGCCATCTCATCACTGTTCAAAAAAAAAAAATCCTTGGACATTTTCCATAAGTGCTTTGATGGTCTGAGTAAATGGGAATACATAATTGTAGATGTAACTGGAGTCCTTGAATATAATTGCACTTATAAGTCAAACAAGACAATTCATAACAATTTGATCCAGCATTTTAATTTTGTCTATTAAATTATTCATATGAATGCTTTTATAAGTTTATCCATGAATATTTGAATGGTGGTTGACTCATAACTATAAAGTATCTTAGCTTTTTATTTTTCTCATTTATATCCAATTAACTTATATGGAAAGTAGAGGTATTTTTGATAGGAGGCACACCTTTCTGCCATAGACTTACTGAGGCTATCTGATGGACATTTCCTGTAACTGGAGGATGCTATGGTGCCTGCTTTAATAGTTTCATAAATATCCTAATAACCCTCATTATGTACAGGGAAATTATTTTAAATCTCTGTTTTATAATTGGGGAGATGACATTCAGAGAAGTTATGTAGTTTTCCAAAAGCCACACAGTATGAGAGTGGCTAACAATGGATTCATATCCAAGGTAGTGAAGATTGGATTTTCTCCCACCCTGCTATGGTACCCATAAGGCTCTCCAAGGACTGAGGGCACTGGCAACATGGACCATATCTCCCCTTACCTCTCCATCTCTACTTCCACACTATTTCATCACCAGGGAAAATTGTCTGAGTAGATATTTGATATGCTCTTTCCTCCCACACAAATAACACTTAAAATCTTTTGCCTGCTGTACACATGCATGAGAAGGTGCCTAATTTATAAGTGTGGTTGGTCAGATGTGGTATCAAAAGGTCCCACAGAAAGGTCTATTTGTGGGGTGTGACTTCTGGAAGTGGTGCCTATGGGAGAGATGAAAGCATCACAGGATCTGCCTGGGACCCTTCAGAGCTCTTTGAAGCAAAGCAGAACCAGCTGTTTACCTGATAGAGCTCCTTAGTCAGAAGCCAGCACAGACCTCGGTCATTATCTCAAAAACCACACCTAGAAACTAAGGAAGTAGGCAACCTGATGACCTCTCAGGACTCTGATCTCCGTTGGCTTATATGTATAGCTGTCCTAGTGCAACTGTGTGCACACTGCAAGTGGTATCGTGCAGCATCATCAAAGTGAAAGCATCATGCTTAGTTTCCTTTTCTAGCACTAATGTCCCTGTATTGGCTGAGGTAAGTGTTTTATGAGAGGTACATCTGGGCCACCATTGATAATGCATTAAATATCACCACAGCCAGGCTCAGCAGCAGGGAGGTCAGAATGAGCACATTTGTTTGTCTGAGACTTGGATGGCTTTCTGAAATAGCGCCAGGAAGTTGGCATTTTTAAGTTTCCAGATAAATCTGATGTTTATGCTCTGCTCCTTATAGCCTGCTTGAATGGTATGATGTGCAGATCTAATCAGCACCTGCTGGAGGTATCTTGAGTCCTGAGTAGGGGACTGTCCTGGCCTTTCTTTCTGATCACTGTTCACTTCCTGCCCTGCCACATGCTACAAGGGTACCCTGTGTCATCCTATAGCAGAATGATTTGTGTCACAAGCCATGGTGATCTGCATCTCCTGCTTTAGCTCTCTGCTTGCAAACTCTCTGAACTCTCTCCTACCTACTCACTAAGGATTTCCTATTGGATCCTTGCACCAAGCTCTATTGTGCTATGTTGTTTCTTTACATGTTTATCCCAACATCTATTATGCGTTTTTCGACAGAAACCAAGTAACCCAATACCTGCCAATGTAAAAGGTCACCATTCAGTACCTTAGACAAATAAAGCAGTAATACAGATAGGTGTTTTAACACCACTGTGCTCCAGCTCCCATCTTAACACTATCACAAATAATTGATCTTTCAAAAGTGGCTCCTGTTTTACTTTATTGTAGAGCTAATTTGCTGTTCTTTTACAAACTGCCTTTTACTTTGGCGCTTGCAAACAGAACAATCAGTTCCTACAGCTGTTCTCTGATGTCACTACTTTGATTGCAAAATGCTTTGTACTCATTTTGTTTTGCTGGAGAACCTTAGACCTTGAGAAGAGTTGCTCCTGGGGGAGACTGAGCAAGCTCATCCTTTCCACAGGACCAGGTTAAAGACTCTGCCATAGGTTTGCCTCACTGTTGGCCTTTGACAGCTTTGCGTGGAAGCTGTGACGTACTATCCTAGGACAGGTATATAGTGGAGATGTAATGATTGCAGATGCTCACCACTGATAGTTGCTTATAGATGACCTACATGTTACTGGTTCACAGCCCATGTTTCCCTTTCAAATTCTTATTTGGTGCTGAAGGCTGTCCATAAAGGAAGGATGGAGGGACAGGGTGAATGAGGGCATGGAATTTTGGCATCTGTCCCTGGAACAGAGACCCTGCCTCAGGATGGAGAGTGGCTCTCTTCTCTGTGAGTTAAGGCAGAAAGTTCAGGAGGCTCTATGGCTGGTGACATGAGACAGAGAAGGTACCATGGTTCTTTCTGATTTCCAACATGTGCCCACCACCTGCAACTTTCCAAGGAAAGACCCAAATTAAGGGGAGAAGAAAAGAATAGGAGAGATGGAGGGGTCGAGAGTGGGTGCTGAAGAGAAGTGATCTCTTCAGCCCTCCTCTCTTAGGCAGTTCAGTCAGAGCAGTGGGACTCAAAGAACCTCCTGCCCTTCTTCTGTCTTTGATGCCTCAGAATTCACCTATGCTTCAGGTTTCATTTCAACCACCAGATGCACCCGAGGAGGTCATTTCTTGGTTCCTGTGTTTAGCACCTCAAGCTGTAGTATAGTATCTGTAACAGGGATCCAGAAAGCCCAGCAATGGTTGTCTGGTTAGAGAAGCTACTGGCTAGTGTGAAGACACCTGGAAGGTGGTCCAGGCCTCTACAGAATAAATGAAGAGATTCATCAGCACCAGGTAGGAACAAGAAGCCCCATCCATCTGCATCCTGCTCACTCTGTCTAAATCTTTCATCCCCTGCAGGTGTCTCTCCTGTGAGGATGTCACCTGTTCAGTCCCTGTCTGAGTCCGTGGGGGGCTTCCAGCTACTTCTGGGACAGGCAGTGGCACTCCTGAGGAAGCGGCTACTGCACACACTACGAGCCTGGAAAAGCACCACCTCAGACCTGCTACTGCCAGTGCTCTTTGTGGCCTTGGCCATGGGCTTATTCATGGTGCAGCCTCTGGCTACCACATACCCTCCTCTCAAACTGACACCTGGGCATTATGAGACTGCGGAAACTTACTTTTTCAGGTAAGAGACTCTTCTGAGATGACTTTATGGTGGCGTTGGTGTCGGTTCCTGAGCTAATGATATCATATAGCAATGACATCAATTTCTTTTTATTTCTAATATCAAGTAAACATTCTCATATAAGGAGTTTGGAGTATAGCTCACAAGTAGAGGAATTGCCTAGCCTGGCAAGGCCCTGACTTTGGGGCCTAGCGCCACTCCCTCTAGTATTAGTCCTTTTATTATTTCTGAGGTCAGAATGCACAGGATAATCTGAGAGGCTCTTTTGAGACCTGACTTACAGAAGCTGTTGGACAGGCCTGGTCCCAACCACTGAATCATTGGCTCCTCACAGCAGCCAAGCATCCTGTGTGAAAGAGCACATGTGGCAAACGTGCTGACACACCCCAGCAGCCTGGTCTTCAGCAAGAAATAGAGGACTAGGTATTTTCTCACCATTTTAGCATTTTAGGAAAGAATGTACACTGTATATTATACAAAGCCCTCCTTGGTTGTTTTTATGACAAGGACCCCCAATTGCACATCCCTCCCAGCTGGACACTATGTGCTCCATACTGAATTGGATCGAGATCATTAACATTTTCAGGTTTGCTGGGCAGATTTGTTGGTAAAACATTGGGAGGAATTTGTTAATCTCCATGTGCCCAGGTTTAGTTGAGACAGAAGGATTTGGCACCTAGAAAACCATACATCATCTCTATCTCGGCTTGCCTGTTTTCTCTTCTGAATCGCCTTTAACTCCCTTGTCACAGCCATTTCTCTACAGGGTTATTCAAGTCCCAGGGGATCACCTCTCATGAGGGAGCCCCCATGACCTGATTGCCTTCCACTGAGACTCACTTCTAAATGTTTCCCAACCTCAACTCTGTATACATGGCTGCATTTTCACTCTTCCTCCATTGCTCAGCCTCTTAGGTTGGTTCCATACTTTAGCTACAGTGAACAGTCTACAATAAATATTGATGTGCAAACAACTCTGTGGTATTTTAACTTGGAGATCTTCAAATAAATCCAAAAGAGAGCGAGCTGACTGATCTATTCTTTTAATTTTTTCCATTGAGTTTTCATTTATTTTAAACATAAATTGGTTTTGCTTTTTACAAATGGTCACTGCAGTTTCTCTGAAAATAGGGTGAGTTGGCTTCATGTATCTTCTTTTTATTATTTTGCAATACTTTAATTTTTTGTTTTGGAGGTCATAATTTAATTGCATTTCTACCTTCTATTTCCTGCCTCCAAACTCTCACACATACCCCTCCCTGCTCTCCTTCACCTTTCTGGCCTCTTATTGATTGCATACATATGTGTGTATGTATATACCTATGTATTCTGAAATAGAACCTGTCCAGTTCATATAATGCTACTTGTATGTGTGTTTGCAGGGCTGACTCTTTAGCACTGGACAACCAGTTGGTGTGCTCTTCCCTGGAGAAGGCCACCTTTCTGGCTTCACAACTTTTCTCAGTTGCCTATAGTTGTTTTTATAGGGTTGAGACCTCATTCTTTTTTTTTCTTCTCCTTTTTATTTAAATTAGAAATAAGCTACTTTTACATGTCAATCCCAGTTCCCTCTCCCTCCCCTCCTCCCCTGCCCCTAACTGACCCCTCAGCCTAACCCATTTCTGCTCCCCAGGGAGGGTGTGGCCTTCCATGGGGGATCTTCAAAGACTGTCATATCATTTGGAGCAGGGCCTAGACCCTCCCCAGTGTGTATAGGCTGAGACAGTATCCCTCTGTGTGGAGTGGGCTCTTAAAATCCATTTGTGTACTAGGGAGAAATACTGATCTACTACCAGAGGTCCCATAAATTGTTCAGACCTCCAAACTGATTTCCTCCTTCAGGGAGTCTGGAACAGTCCTATACTGGTTTCCCAGCTATCAGTCTGGGGTCCATGAGCAACCCCTTGTTCAGCTCAACTGTTTCTGCGGATTTCTCCAGCCTGGTCTTGACCCCTTTGCTCATCACTCCTCCGTCTCTGCAACTGGATTACAGAGTTCAGCTCAGTGTTTAGCTGTGGGTGTCTGCGTCTCCTTCCCTCCTCTCTAGATGGAGTCACTAGGACGGGATATAATGTAGTTATCAATCTCATTATTAGAGAAGGGCATTTAAGGTAGCCTCTTGACTATTGTGGTAAACTGGATTCCAGAGTTCAGCTCAGTGTTTAGCTGTGGGTGTCTGCGTCTCCTTCCATCAGCACTAGATGGAGTCACTAGGACGGGATATAATGTAGTTATCAATCTCATTATTAGAGAAGGGCATTTAAGGTAGCCTCTTGACTATTGTGGTATGGGCTGGCATCTGTGGTCTCTTAGTGTAGGTAGAATATCTATCAAGGACCTTCTGGCTTTCAGAGATTCCATGGAAAAGTCAGGTATAATTCTGATAGGTTTGTCTTTATATGTTACTAGCGCTTTTTCCTTTGCAGCTCCTAATATTCTTTCTTTATTCTGTATGTTTGGGGTTTTGATTATTATGTGGCGAGGAGACTTTTTTGTGGTTCATTCTATTTGGTGTTCTGTAGGCTTCTTATACTTTCATTGGCATGTCTTTCTTTAGGTTGGGAAAGTTTTCTTCTATGATTTTGTTGAACATGTTTTCTTTAAATTGCATTTCTTCACTTTCTTCTATACCTTTTATTCTTAGGTTTGGTCTTTTCATGGTGTCCCACATTTCCTGGGTATTTTGTGTTAGGGATTTGTTGGACTTATGATTTTTGTTGGTCAGTGAGTCTATTTCTCCTAGTGTATCTTCAATGTCTGAGATTCTCTCTTCCATCTCTCCCAGACTACTATAGTTGAGAGGCCTCATTCTTAAACCACAGCCTTTTCTCACCATGTCATCATCATTGTGTCTCTAGTTCTGCCTCTTTCTACCACACACTCACTGCTCAGTTCCTCTATCTTTGGTGCCTTTCCATCTCACATTCATTCATTGCAGAGGCATTGGAAACTGCAGTTTGTCACATGATATATATATATGCCCAAGCAGCTTTACATGCAAATATTCATTGCAACAAGTCATTGTAAAGGTTCTGTGTGAGCTCCTGGCTGCCTCACATCTCCCTGCTCTTGATGTCTGCTGCCCTGAGTCTTGCTGATCTTGACCTTTGGGCTTGTAGGCCCAAAGAGTGCTTTGCACTCTGGGTCTCCCAGCATGGGGTACAGTCACAGTGATTTTATGCTGGGTGCCAGCTGGTGGACCTAGGACCAGTGTTGTTCACTAAGGACCTGTTTCTTAGGGAGCTTCAGGACACTGCACACCACCATGTCCTCAGTGCTGGCCTTCCCACAGCTCATAGGGCATAACTATTGTACTTGTAGGCTGCCATTCCTTTTCTTTGTCCCAGCAGGGCAATCAGCACTGGCCATATTACAGTGGCTCTATGCTGGGAGCTGGTTGGTGGACTTAGGGCCAGTCATATTCAGTATTGACCTGTTACTGCAGGAGTCCCAGGCCAAAGCACATGTACCTGTTGTTGGTGCTGGCTCCTGTGGCTCACTGGGCATGACCATTGTGCTTGCAACCTGTTGGCTGAGACACAAAGTTGAAGTGTATAGATTTGCTGTGCATGACTCAGTGCCACCATCTTTCTTTCCAATTGTTTGAATCCATTAAAAGCATCTTCCAATAGAACTTGTTAATTTTTCTTAATTTTTTTAATATTTTTCTATATGACCTTTTCTTTCTACTGCAGACTCTTTGGGCTTCTTTCCTACCCCTGTGTTGCCCTTTGGAGCCTCCATGGGTCTTGAAGACTTTTTGGAGATCCACAGCAGGTGCCATCTTTGTTTTCTTCTCCGAATTTTTGAACCAGGCATCTTTAGGTCTAAGCTTTCTTCTCTGGAGTATTTTCAGTTTGTTTTAGGTTTTAATATATTTTAGTTTCATTCAGTGATAGGACTTAAAGAGTTTTCTTCTTGATTCTTCTAATGAATTATTAATTAAATAGTGTGTTGTTCAATCCAATGAGTTTGTGTATTTTCTGTGGTTTCTCTTGGGGCTGCTGTCATATTTTACCTAATTATTATCAGATAAAATACAAGAATTTGTTTCATGGTTTTTATATTTATTAGTTCTTATTTGTGCTATGCTATATGACCTACTTTCAGGGAAAATTCCATATACTGCTTATGCTGTTTATTCTCAGCATTTGGGTGAGATATTCTATAGATCTCCGGTCACTTGTTTGATATATGATGCCATTTAACCCACGTTTCTCTATAGATAAGATAACCTGTCTATTGGTGAGAATTTTGTATTAAAGCTGTTGAGATTAATCTGTATCTTCATATCTAGTATTTGTTTTATGAAATTGTGTGTGTCAATGTTCATTGAACATTCATTTAGAATCAAACTAGCCTCTTCTTGGATTGTTTCTTTAGTCAGTATGAATTTACTTTATGACTAATTTTTGTTTGGTGTCTATTTTGTCACATGTGAACAGCGACCCTTGCTTACTTTATCATTATATTGGCTTAGAATTCATTTTCCACTTTTTTTTTTTACTTGATGTTATATTGTCTTTGATGGTAAGTAGCATTTCTTGGAGATAACAAATAAATGGGTCCTCATTTTTAACAAAATATGCTAGTGTATGTATTTTATTTAGGGAATGGAGATATTGTACATTCAGAATTATTATTAAAGGTATATATTAATTATTGCCATTTTGTTGGTTTGGTAGAATTTGGTGTTTTATTGATCCTCACTGATTAACCACTGTTCTATCACAGTTTATTTTTTCTTGTAGCTTCATGAATGTGTCCATGTTTCCCTTTTCTCTGAAAGAGTTTTTAAGTATCATTTGTAGGGGACTTCCTTAGTGGCCATGAATTCTTCTAGTTTCTATTTATCATAGAATGCATTTTAATTCTTCAATTATTACAGGTAATTTTGCTGAATATAGTAATATAATTTTGTGTATTTTGTCTTTCAGAGTTTTAAACACATCATTCTAAGCCTGCCTATGATTTATATGTTTGATCTTTTTATTGTGTCCTCAAATTTCATGTTTTGTGTCTACTTTATCAATTATCTTCATAATTGTCAGAATGTTCTATTTTGTCTCCTTTGTCTTCAAACTCTGGTCCTCAATCCACTCTGTTAAGCTTCCCAAACAAATTTCATTGGACTTATTAAACTTTACATTTTTGTTCAAGCATTTTTTCAATAAGTCTACTTTTTACCTGTGAAGTTTTCTTTTATGTACTTCAATATTGACTTCTTTATTTCACTCATGTGTTCTCTTTGTATCTTTCAGGTGTTTATGTCCTCTTAGATTTTAGATTTCTTTGAACATATATACTTACAGCCATTTATTGTTTTGTTTTGTTTTTGAGACAGGGTTTCTCTGTAGCTTTGGGGCCTGTTCTTGAACTGACTCTGACAACCATTTTTCTGAATTCTTTGTCTTGGATTTTATTGAACTCACCCTCATTTGATAACACTCATAGAAAGTGTTCACTAGATATTAGTTGCTGAGTATATGTGTGTGTGTGGAAAAAGGAAAGCAAAGTATGACTAGTGATTAGTATGTGATAATACAAAAAAAATACAGGGGGTAAACTACAGTAAGAACAATGGGGGAAATTAGGGGTCTCAGGATGAAGGTAAAATGAGAACAGAAAAATGTAAAGGGTTGCAAACTACAGAAACTTTATCTTTTGAGAAAGCCCATCAAAAAGGACCAAACATAAAAAAGAAAGAAAAAGAAATAAAGAAACGAAAGTAGGGAGGAAGGAAAGAAGGAAAACAGGGAAAACAGTCAGACAGGGAAAAATAAAGGGAAGAAACAGTGAAGAGCATAGGTATCCCTCTAAATAGATACCAGATATTAAACAAAGGAGAAATTTGAAAGGAGGATACAGGTCTAAGGCCTCAGAGTAAATGTAATTGCTATCTTGGGTGCTGGATCTGGTTTTGACTCTTCTACTTTCAATGGGTGTCATCTACACAGCTCTGGGTGATGTTTTACATGGTCCTGTTAGCAAGAGATCACAGGTTAGGCTGTAAATTCTGGTTCCATCCCTGGTCCTTTTGAATGTCTGGTACTTGCTTTGACTCTGGCTTCAGTTGGATTTCTACCTTGGTCAGTTTCTCCCCTGCTGTTCAGAAGGGTTCTACTGGATGGGTTCTACTGGCCAGGTTCTAGTGCATAATAGTGTGATGTTTGCTCTGGTTCCCACAGCGTGCTATTCAAGGTCTTGGGAGCCAAGCCACTGATTCAGTGTGGCAGGAGTCTTTTTAAAAACTGGAATCTCATAGGGCCAGCAAGATGACTCAGTGGTTAAAGGTACTTGCCACCAAACTGGATGATTTGAATTTGACCTTCAGAGTCCACATCATGGAAGGAGAAAACCAATTACTATAAATTGCATCTCATGGTGTGTGTGTGTGTGTGACTTCCAAAACAATAAATGTTGTAAATTAAATTAAAATTTAAACTGGCATCACCCTGCTTATCTGGTTGAATGAGAAGAAAGTGTTTTCTGTACCTCCTCTCCTGCTGATGCCCTTGCCGTGTGCTGTTTCCTTCCTCTACTCTTTCTTTTCCATCACTGAAAATGTGTTATTGGAAGTACAGAGCAGTTGTCTGAGATCTTCTGTCTTATTCCATGACTTAGTTACCATCAGCGGCTGCCCTCTCTGTCACTGGAAGGAAAGAGCTCCACAAGCCAGGCCAATCACCCAAAGACGGACTTGGACTTCTATCATGTTCTGCTTTGTAAAAGTTCCCATTTCTCTTTGCTACTGAAGCTAGAGCCCTTCAGATAGATGTTATCAACTTTCCCCAGTTTATTCCCTTGACATTCTATCCAGCTGTATCTGCATGTAACCTGCCATCTTAAAAGTTTTCTATATTTTATAAATTTTCCAATTCTGAATTGTAATCAATTGAAATGAATCCCACTACCCATTATTCCAATTTTAAGAAGTTTGACATATATTTGTTTTTATATTTCTTCAACTCCAGACATTTCTTACAGTTGATGCACAAAATTTAAACCTTTTTTCTAGTGTTTGTTTCTATATCTTCCTTCTAAATGACACAAATGCATTACTGCTGATTCTCTATTTGGCAAGATAAGACAGTGTCTCTGACCTTCTACATATCTTGAACTATAAATTGACTTGAGGCCCATGGCCAGCAAACTAAACACCATCACTCAATGTGTGCTTAAAGCACAGGCCCAATTCTGTGCTGAAGACTTCTTACTATGAAAGTATGATTCAAGGACATGTAGAAACCAAAAGGATGTAAATATAGGTTGCATTTTTATATTACTGTGTAATAGGATGAATATTTTTTTCCAAGCTAGAGCTCCATCGTGGAAAAAACACTTTTACTGATTTTAATAAATTAACATAATATGACATTATATTAGGCAGCCTTTAGAATTTAATTTTAAACCCATGGAAGTAAGTGAAAATGCTTAGAAAATTAATTGAAACCATCCAGAAATTAATGTGCTTTGACTAGCAACACCTCCCAGTACATATGTGTAGTGACAAAAAGTGTTCTTGAAGACATTTCTTCATTCCATCCTTGTTCATGGCCTTACCACAAAATACTGGGAAATTAGCTTTATCGGGTGCTCTGCAAAGTGTTAAGCCAATGAGATTGACTAGAGTGAGGTCAGAGCTGGTCCTTTGTTCTCCTTGAGAGTTACTAATGGCACTTTGTCTCCTTACCATCAACAGCAGTGCAAGCCATGGTGTGGACCTTACCGGAGTGCTTCTTCGAAAATTTGGAGATAGGGATCCTGTCTGTGTTGATGGTCAGCTGTAAGTACCTGGTCCCCTCTGCACAGCAGAGCTTCCAACACCCAAAACACTAGGGACTGGAGTCTCTCCAGGATGGGTTAGTCCATGTTCCAATGTAGGCAACATTGAGCTAAGTCAGCTTAATAGGTAGGATATCAGTTGGTCTAATGAATCAGTCTCATTGTATGGAAAGGCTACAAATAAACTGACTAATTTTTCCTTTTTACCCTTCATAGACATGTGCTCAGTAGAACTGCAAAAAAATAGTATGATTAGTAGAATTCATTTGACACAAGAAAACTCAAAGCTAAAAGGACTTCCATAGCAATTAAGCATGAATTATGTGTTAACTGTTGTTTGCTTTGTAGAGAAGACCTATGCATATTGAGGCATTATTTTTAAGTTAATAGGTAATGCATGTGCACACATAGATATTCAGAACTCATGGCAGTTTTCTTTCTGGTAAGGCTTATTTCAATGTTTATAAGTAGTTCTACTCACATTGCTACGTGATTTAATTCTTTTTTTTTTTCGAGACAGAGTTTCTCTGTGTATCTTTGGAACCTATCCTGGCACTCACTCTGTAGACCAGGCTTGCCTTGAACTCACAGAGATCCACTTGTCTCTGTCTCCCAAGTGCTGGGATTAAAGATGTGTGCCACCAATGCTTGGCTTATGATTTAATTCTTTATAGCCTCATACTACTTTACTGTGCATACATGCCACACTTCATGATTCATTTAGTAGGTTGATACAAATCAGAAAGTGCAATGACAACACATTTTCTTTAGAAATCAAAATAATCACTGTCTTCACCCACAGCCCTGCCATGACCACCTCCATATCGGTGTAACCTCAGACATACCATTTAAGTTTAGGAAGTTTTGGTTTCATTCTGCAACCACTTATTTAGCAACACTAGTAGACTTCATATTATGGAAGTAGACACTCTAATGGTAATTATCAGAGACTGAAAAGGGTGGACAGAGGAAGAATAGATAGAGGAAGATTAAGGAGCATAGGTATGTGGTTGGGTGGCAAATATAATTTCTAATGATATGGTTGACAGTTAAGTTTTTCACAATAGCTTCTACAGCATTTTGATTGTTCCCAATGCAAAGAAATGATAAATATTTCTGATGGTGGTTATGTTAAGACTTGCAATTTTGCCATTACACACTGTGCATATGTATTAAAATACATGTTAGGCTGGGGAGACAGCTCAGTGGGTAAGAACACTTACTGTGCAAGCATGAGGACTTGAATTTGAATGCCTCCTAGGGCCCATGTGGGGAAAAAAGCCAGGCATGAGTGTGTGTGCTTGTAAATCTGGCATTTACAAGTAAAGAATGACAGAGCTCATTAGCCATTGGGACTATCAAAACATTGAGTTACCAGCTCAGGAAGAAACCCTATCTCAAGGGAATAAAGGCATAGCTCCAAAGAAGATAGCCCATGCCCTCCTCTGACCTTTTTGTGCTTATATGAAGGTACTTATACACTTGCACACTCACATGCATTCAACACACACAAATATGCTATTTCACTGAATATCATGGGCATATGCCCATTGAAATTATAAAATGAAAGGCTATCCTGTCAATATGAGCTGATTGCTTTGAATAAGGCTTTACTGGGCTCCCAGAGTAACACTGAGGGAATGTTTGGCTTATCAATCCTAGTAAGGCATGCCTTGCTTCATAAGTGGTCCCTTACGGTTATTTCCTTTAACTTTTATTCCTTGAGGATCTACTGAAAAATCAAGTGAATTTAGAGGGTCCACAATTAATGCAAAGAATCTGTTCTACGAAGTTTATAATTACAAATGGAGCAAACAAGACTAGAGTTAAAAGCCATGATCATGTCTTGGATGTTACAGGTCTGACTTTTCAGTGATAAGCATAGAAACTCAGACAAAGAAATTAGGAATATGTCTCCTAGTTTACCATGATGTATTTTGCCTGTAAGTCATGCTGGTAATTAGTTGAGACTGGCTGACTATTAATGGCCTCAGTGTGGAAGAATTAAGAGAAAATTAATTTTGTTGTTTCACTTTAGTCTTCTTGGAAACATAAAGTGATTTATTCTGTGAAGGGTTCTGTGGCCATGTTCTCATTTTCTCATATGTAATAAAAACACACAGGATGTAAAACACTCCTGAGTAACAGAAACAGGAGCACATGTAGTACATCTGTGGCCTAATGTTGTATCAAGGAAAGAATGATTAGCAGAAAAATTGGACAATCCTCTTATATAATCTCTAAAAAGAAAACACACAGGTTAAATCAATGCTTTATTAATGGCAGAACATATTCACAAGTCATCTCCTTTACAGTGGTGCCAGTGCCGCCTGCCCAGTCTCTGCCTCCCTTCCTGGTCCAGAGTTGTTGCCCAGGGTTAGCTGGCAGGCTGGTTTGGTGGTGAGAGTAGTTCTTCATGAGGCCTAGCACCACTTCTGGGCAAGTTCATCTGTGAAGATGGATGTGAAGATCAGGGGTAGAAAGCACAGAGTATGAACCTGAGGCATCCAGGTGCAGATGAAGAACACACCTGCATACTAGGCTGCCTCAATCAGATCTCACCTTCACTAGCTATGTGGCCGGGACAGCAGACTCAACCTCTGTCGGTCTCTGTTGGCATCAATATTCTTGCCCTTCTACAGAAATAACCTTCACTCCACACAGCAAGGTAACCCCTATGGAGCCTCTCTTCCCTTTAAGTGAGTACATATCTAAGAACACTATTTTGAGGAGAAAGGAAGTCCTTATAGCATCTGTCCCTCTCTTTGAGATTTAAGATGCTTATTATACTATTAAAAATTCTGGGCATCCATATTGTGCAAAGACCTGTTTATCCCAAATGTTAGAGACCTCCTGACCATGTTCAAAACTCATTGGCTAGAAACAGCATCATTGTGCTTGTGTCCTAGGAACACATTAGGGATGTTCTATGAGAACTCAAAATGTATTTAGATTTCTAATATCTAGAAAGAAATTTACAAGGACATGTTTCATTCCTAACAGGCAATTTCATCTGCCTATCTCCATTATGGACATTCACAAAATCACAGGAAGTCATTGAATACAAAAATTATAGGAGGCTGAGATGCTCAAAAACCTAAAATCTGTTAAATATTGTCATATATTAGCATTCAAATCTCAGTTTTTTCCTCTATCAAAGGAAGCTAAAAAAATAAGAGAAGGCTGGGCATTGGTGGTGCACGCCTTTAATCCCAGCACTTGGGAGGCAGAGGCAGGTGGATCTCCGTGAGTTCGAGGCCAGCCTGGTGTACAGAGCGAATGCCAGGATAGGTTCCAAAGCTACACAGAGAAACCCTGTCTCGAAAAACCAAAAAAACAATACAAAACAGAAAACAAACAAAACAAAACAAAAGAATAAGAGAAGATTAAGAATGGGCAATTCGAACTTTATAAACAACTCATTAAATTATACAAAGTTCTAGTACTCCCTTTTCCATGGCTATAATGTTAATTCCACCAAGCTAAAGACAACCGACCCAAATTTTTGGTTGAATTAAGCAGGCTTTATTTTTTGTCAGTAAGGGCTATTTCCCTAAAGTGGAGTTTGAGAGGCTAGCCCCAAACACAGGAGAAATTTTATACGTGCAAAATGGTAAGGCTAGGGAGTTCCCAAGGGTGTTTGGTTGTGTAGTAACTTGGCAAAACATCTTATCAGAATAGAGGTCAGGGTATAGGGTCAAACTCCAGAAAATGGGTTAAGACATGGTGAGAAATGCAGGGCCAGGCAATCCTTGCTTACAGTCTGCACCCTCACTGACTGAGTCCCATGGGAACAGGGAGTCTATCCTAAGGGCTTACGGCCTACTGTGATTGATGACCTTTCATAAGGACTTCCTTCTCAAATGCTCTCCTTCCCAACACCACAGCTTTGAGACCAGGCTTTGCCACATGAGGGCTCTGCAGGAGAGGTCACATCCATACCACAGCCCTCCATACCTCTCATCCAAGGCAACTGCAGTAAAAAAGGACTATTGGAATGAGATGCAGAGCCATTAAAAAAAAAGTAATTAGGTTATAGTCACCTGGTTAAAAAACAATTCCCTTAGGCATTGTTTCCATGTTCACTTAGGAATCCCTAACTGGATGATGATGATGGTGATGATGATGATAAGTCTGTGATCACCTTTTATATTTAGAAAATTGTATTTGCCAGACTGGCTAACAGAATTGACCTGTGTCCTTTCATTGGACTGGCTTTTCCAACATGGTGTCACTACCCCAATTGTCTTCCATTGGAGCAATACACCTGTAAAGAGAGCCCAGGCATGGGGTTCAACTTGGCAGGCCAGCCTTCCTGCTGTGTGACCACCTGATAATGGTGGAAGCTCTTATAGCTGCTACTCTTGTCTTGAGATTCTGAAAAGTAGGTGAGCAGAGGATATGGTAAAAAAAAAAAAAAATCTAGCTGGTACCTGTGGGTTAGTGAATGGTAATTTTACCTTTTCTCTCAGCATTTGAGTAATTTAGCCCATCTATATGAAAGTAAGATTTGACTTAAAATTGTTGTAAAAGACTTCATGTCTCAGGGATAAAAATCTACAGAGAAAAATAATGTAAAAGCTTTTCTATAGCCAGCCAGATGGCTCTGTGGGTAAAACCACTTGCAGCTAAGCCCAAAGACTTGAGCTTGATTTCCTTGAGACCCACCTGGTGGAAGGCAAAATCCAATTCCCACAATGCTTCCCCACTTTCTACACATGCAGAATAGCATGTGTACATGCAGAATAGCATGTGTACACACACACACACACACACACACACACACACACACACACACTCACACTTGAATAAATGTAAGGGTTGTTTATTCATTCTTATTTTTCTATTCACTAACTCTCATTTTCTGTCCTTATGTGGAAATTTAATTGTAGTTTTTTTGTAAATGATTAAGTTACTATGACATGACAGAAATGAATTAACAGGTCAATTTAATGCAATTAATAAGCAATTACTAGTTGTTTCTCAGTATCTGGTTATGATCTTAGAGTCTTGGGGTCTGCCAACAAGCCCAGCTCTGGGAAGTCACAGAGCCCCGTAGCATGCTCAGTGTGAACAGCCAGCTAATCCCCATGTCACATCATGGAATCCTGGCATGGTCACAAAACATTGTCATCAGATTAGTGGCTCACACTGTGAAAACAAAAGACAGAGTTCTGCCTTACCAGCAAGGAGGGGCTGTCTTGTAAACTGTGTTCTACTATGGCAGAACATGCTTTCATCAAAAGGTCTTTTCAAATTTCCTTTTGTTCTTTAGGAGAAATTCTTCGAGATGGCATAGGGACTCTTATTCTGGACCAGAATTGCAGGAGTCGTGTGGCTGCCTGGTATGTTTCTGAAGCACCCTTCATTGGTTGAAGTTTAAAGTTCAAATTAAAATAGATGAGTTGCTTCCACCTGCATCATCCTCATTTTTTTTTTTACTTAAGTTTCTTAATGTCTATATTTACTTAGGCTGTTTGTGGGAGAGTTTTCATCCCTTACAGTGAATATGATTCCCTTCTTGTATAGTCTCTGCTGCCTGCCCATTCTCTGCTCACATCTATAACTCTCCCACCAACTCTGATGCCTTCCCATTCCCTGCTCAAGTTACTTTATCATTATGACCCCCACTGGGATGCAATGAGCAGCTGAATCCTCTTCAGTTAGAGATGAGAAGCCAGACTTTCACTTTGGGAGAAATCTCCTCACATCTCATGACAGGGTGATCTCAAGGCTGTCTTCATAATTTTACTTCTTAAGTTCTGAGAACTAGATATTATAACCTAAGAAAATTCTTAGGATTTCTAATATGATTGATGTACTTGCTTTTGAGTTGAAGGCCATAGCTACCTTGTCTGTGAAGGGGAACAAATAGAAATTTATTTGGAAAATTGGTTGTAGTTCATCTCAGAGGAAATATCAGAAGGTAATTAGTGAAAGGCATAGATTTGTTATCTACAACCACCCATCAGCTATGGCAATCTTAATTTACCCTTCAAAATGCTAAGCGTGTATTTCGGCTGGTGGAGCACTTGCCTAGCAAAACATAAAGCCTTAGGTTTGATCTTAGCATTGCATAGAATGGGCATGGTGGTCCTGCCTGCAATGCCAGAACACTGGAGAAAAAAAAATGAAGAGGTCTTTACTGATCATCCATAGAGGAAATGACTACATGAAGAACACATTCGTGGGCCTTTTTAGTTAAAGGCCCATGGGGTCCATTCTCTCCAGCAGCTTGAATGACTTCTGGAGGTTTCATTTGCTTTCTTCTCATAGCCAAAATTCAGGAGAGAAAGACAATGCAGCTGCACCCTAGGGATTGTGAGGACGGGTTGGCCATAAGGTTAGTGTTTCCATTGTGGTCAGGATGCCTTGCTTCTTTGCACTGGCCAAAAGTCTTTTTTTTTTTCTTCGTCTCAGTTCTTCCATTTATCATGAAACTTTTAATGTTGTGCTCTAAGCTTTGCTCTTGAGTCTGGATTTAGTCATTCTTTTACAGTAATGGCTTTTCTTACCACAAGCCTAAAGTCTATTAGGATTAGATAGGGTGTCAAGGGGATAGGGAGAATGAATAACTATCAGAATGGTATTATGGCCTCCAATTCAGCCTAACTCACATGAAATATAAGATTTCAGTAATATGGGTACACAAAAAGAAACATGCCAAATGAGCACTATCTATGAGCAAACATGCTCGAGGGATGGTGGCTAAAACAGAGTTGCTATTGTTTTTCTAAGAAATTGTGGCAGAAGGCTTTGGCTTGAATAAGCAGTAGGGTGGTGAATATGCAGCATGCTGTGATTAAAGCAAATGCTTAGGCTAAAGAATTAAAGAATCCCCTTATTATTCACTCCCTCTTTCTCCTGATGCAGCTTTCTGTTGCTCCTAATTCCACTCCTCCTTCCTTCTCTTCTTTCTTCTTGTGTGTGTGTGTGTGAGAGAGAGAGAGAGAGAGAGAGAGAGAGAGCGAGAGCGAGAGAGAGACG